CTAACTATGTAATTTTTACCTAAAATTGTTCCTCAACTATTAGGATTTCACCACTTTGATCCTCGACTATTAGAATTTCATGACTTTGGTCCTCTACTCTCCAAAAAGGACCCCAAATCCACTCTAAACTTACATTTTAGGTTACCATTTGCATAGTTGTGGACGAAATTGAACAACTTTGGTAGTCGATGACCAAAGTTGTGAAATCCTAATAGTCGATGGACCATTTTAGGTAAAAATAACATAGTTAGGGACTAAATTGAACAACTTTAATAGCCGAGGACCAAAGTGGTAAATCCTAATAGTCGAGAGACTATTTTAGATCAAACTTGCATAGTTAGGGACTAAATTGAATAACTTTAATAGTTGATGACCAAATTGGTGAAATCCTAATAGTCAAGGGACCAAATTAAGTATTAACTCTTATACATATAACCTGAAAGAACTAGGAATGGAAACAAAGCTCTACTCAATTGAATACACTATAGTTCTTTAATTTGGTTCACCCCAAGTGACCAATCGCACAACCGCACGGGAAGCTATACACGTACCGCACCTGAATCCTTCCATATATATATATATATATATATATATATATATATATATATATATATATATATATATATATATATATATAGCGTGTATAGCTTCTCGTGCGGTTGACGTACCTTAAGCATTAAAATGATGCATCTTAAGTACACAAACCATGTACCTTAAGCACACAAACAAAACACCTTAAGAACACAAACCATGCGCACCTAAAGCTTTAGGCTGACGCACCTTAAGTACACAAACCACGCATCTAAGGTTTTAAAATGGCACACCTTAAGTTTCAACAACTCATGCACCTTAAGCATACAAATCACGTACCTTAGGAAGGAAAAAAGCACCTTAAGAAGGAAAAACGCGCATCTTAAGTTTCAGGTTGACGCACACCTTAAGTTTCAACAACTACTCACATTAAGCACACAAATCACGCACTTTAAGCACCAAAACCACGCACCTTAAAAGGAAAACCATGCACCTTAAATTTGACCTAGATGCAAAAATTATCAAATTGCCACCGTGTTTTTTTTTTTTTTTTAATTTAATTAATCTTAGACGTTGATTTAAGTAAGATCAATGGCTCAGATTTAACCACACAACCTCACGGGACACATCCAACCGCACGGAAATTGAATTATATATTTTTATATGAAATTACTAATAAAAATCTCTTAGATGACAAGTACGATAATGTTTTAATTTTTTGTACAATAAAAAATATAAATGAAACCATGGTCTAATGTATGAGTATATGCTCGATGACTACTTGTGTAACAAGCTAGGAATATATTCTAGTTGGTGGTTGCTGGACTCGTTTTTCTTCTACGACCTGTTTTACAATCAAGTGGTGATTATTATATTTGGATATTTATTAATCCATTAAAATGAACTTTATTTATTCTACAATAGATTATTAATAGTGAGGGTATGAGGAATAATGAACGTTGTTCAAAGAAAGCCTCATTATAGAATAGGGGTGGGCACTTCGGTTCGGTTTATCCGAATCGATTTGAACCGAACCGAACTAGTAATAGAAAATCGAATAGTTCAGGATTTTTTAACCCGAACGGTTTAGTGTCGAACCAAACTGAAATCGAACGGTTTGGTAAAAATCGAACCGAACCGAATGCTATATAATTTTTTTAAATAAATAAATAAATAATACTAATAATAATAATAATAATAATAATAATAATAATAATAAAAGAAGTAAATCTAAGTTCCTTGATGCCTACCAGGACTATGTGGTCCAATGGTATCCGGGTTGGACTTCCATTTGGAAGATTATAAGTTCGAGCCTCAGTGGAGGCGTTATTGGTTCTTTGTGTTTCAGTAGGTTGAGAAAGTATATGACCGCCGCTCAGTTCTCATTCTTATTGGTACCGAACCTTAAATTTTTTATTTGATTTCTTTATAGCTTGTTTTCTACATTGCACTTTTGTTGTTTGTCGCAATTGTTCTTTAACTCACAATTATATCTAACTTGAGTTATATTTACAATATTCAGTATTTTTCTTAGTTTCATATTTTTCTATAAATTTAATGTGCTTTACAGTCATTCTAATTTTGATTTCCAGTGCACTATAATTATTTTCTAGTACTGAAATATATTTCGAGTGCACTAGCAATGACAGATTGTGTCCAGAAATTAACTATATAGTAATTCACACTTGTTCTTTTAATATCAACTATACAGATAGATGATTATTCATCTTATCAATAAAAATATTCCAACTGAACCAACTGAAGAGTCGGTTGTGCAAAAACGTTAACTGATGTTTGGTAATTAGTATTTAGTATTGTGTTTGAACTTTGGATTGCTATTTTGTTATATAATGTTTAGAGTTTGAATTTGGATTATGTGAATATGTATTGTTTGGTAGTATGTTCGAAAAATTAGAAAATGTTGAAATTTGGGGATCTTAAACCGAACTGAAACCGAACCGTTTCAAGCCGAATCGAAGCCGAACCAAACCCTAATGTTACACCGAATGGTTTAACTTTTTTAAAACCGAAAAACCGAACACTGCTGGACATCACCGTTTTTCCGACCTCATTTCCGACCACCCAAACATTTGGTTGGAAAAAGTAATTTTTTTCATTTTTGCGACGTATGGTTAAAGTGGTCGGAATTTAGACCACATTCACTAAGTGGTCGGTAGTTCCGACCACCTTTAGAGAGTGGGTCGGAAATATTTTCTGGCAATTTAATCTTTTGTAAACTAATCCTATTTCCGACCACAAATCTTTTTTTTTTTTTTTTTTTTTTGTCGTTGTCATTGTTGTGGTTCAATGGTATGAATGCTACATGATTTATCTTTTTATCATTGATTATTTCACTCATATTTTTTTTTTCGATTTCAAATGACCACGAAGCAGAGAGTTTACTAATAGATACCATTTCACCATTCTTACTATGAAAAATAAGACCGTGCCCTTTCCATGTAGATACAAGAAATCATTTTCTTACTTCAACTCTTTAAATCATTTATTCTTGTTAGGACTCGACAATCCTAGTTCTATTAAGTTTCATCATTCTATATAATGTATTGTATAACATCGTGTATTGTACTACGTATTATTTTTATCACAGAATGCAAACATTCATATGCTATTATTAGTCTAGGTTTTCTCATGACATCCATTCCTGATGACTTTGCCACTATTTCTTATGAGCAAACCATGTCTGACCCTGGTACGGTGTCTTCTATAGTGGTGGTCATGGATGCTCTTTCAACGGCACAACACTTTGTTTCTATCAAACTGACGTAATGGATTGTATTTCATCGTGTATTGTATTGTGTATTATTTTCATCACATAATACAAACATTCATCATTATAACTTATCAAAATTTCATACTAGCTATATCACCCATAATTTATTGAATATGCTAGAAAGAGTTAATTCCAGCAATAGTCCTCCGACTATTGTGATTTTTCAAATTTGGTCATCGTCTTTTAATTTAGACAAAATAAATCATTGACTATCAGAATTGTTCCATCATTGGTCCTTTCATTAACCAACCGTTAAATAGATGTTAGTGAAGGGCTAAAAAGGAAATTCTTCTCTCTGGACCATTGTTGGAATTAACTCTGCTAGAAAAATGTATTATTCCTGCAAACTTAGTTTTTCTCTAACACATTTAATAAATAGTGGGGGTGCAGGGATGTAGCCAAAGTACATGTGTTAGTATTAGTAAAATAAAATTACTAAATATCAATGGTTAGCAGATGGCTCTAGAAATTTATTGGTATGATTGTTATATTTAAAGACTTGTTAATTTAATGTTTTTGACCTTTCTACATGGCCTGCTTATTAAAGACTTGTTCAGTTAATTGCAGAGTAATAATCATCTAAATCAATTCTACAAACATTTAAAATATATTGATGGCATTGTAGTAGTTTGTTTTTCTTTTTGCTCCTGTTTATTAACTGACAGTGATGCAGTTTAGTTGATATGTCACCATATCTAAAGATGCAATTTTAGTAGTTGTTTGAAGTGTGTTGAACAGTGTTTATGTAGTATGTATTGTAGATGAAGTTTTAGGGAAAACATTTTAGTGTCCTAACAGTTCATATGTTAGAGGACATGACAACTTATAAGTATAACTGAGTTGATGCAACTGAAAAAAGGGCTATATGTAGTTTGTCTGGTTAGTGTTGCACATTATACTCATTTGGTATCTGTGAGATATTGATCAAATCTTCAATTGAATGTCAACTTATAACTGAGTTGATGCAACTGAAAAAAATGCTATATGTAGTTTATAGTGTTGCACATTACCCATTTGGTATCTGTGCATTATTGAAATCTTCATTCTAATGTCTGCAGTTGGTGTTGACTCTGATGCCGATAGAATTGACCTAGTCTTGTCCCAAGTGGAGGGAAAAGACATTTTGCAGTCCATTTGTGTTCATTACAATTAAGAAATTTAACTTAATCTATATTTGTTGTATTTATTTATGTTTATCGGGTGAATCTTTTACTTAATCTACATCTACCTATACATCATATGAAAGTGTCTTATCTTTTGTTCCATGCTCTTTTATTAAGATGGTATACTCTTTCTTTTGCTTGCTTGACATTCAATTACTTTATGCATTTTATAGGATACTATGAAAGTTCTGGTGCAAAGGTATTAGAGGATGACATGATTGAGACCTATGACAATGCTGTGAGGCCTTAAATGTAGTTCAGGCACTAGTGGAAATTATAGAATTTCCGACCACCTAAAAGTGATCTTAAATCAAGTCGAAAGCCTTGTTCCGACCACTTTTGGTATCCGGAAAAACCTTTGTTGCTATTTCCGACCACTTTTTGGTATTAACTTGATTTAAGATCATTTTCAGGTGGTCGGAAATTCCCTAATTTCCAGTAGTGAGGTTTCGAAACATTTCTTTTCTCTATTTTCTTTCCTTCATCATCTCTGTATCAGATAGTCAATAGGGTTCTGTGACTCTATAAGAACATTGGATCGATCATCATATATATAGCTTTAATTTTTGATTTGCCCTGTAAAAAAGAAATTTAGGCTGCATATGTTCATCACTGGTTCATCTGCGTAATGTCTTTGTAGCTTTAGTTTGAGGAGGTTTTAATGTGTCATCAATCTTCACTGCATGCATATGGAGTTTTACTTGATTGAGAATGGTTCCTTGATACATCATCTCATGCATTTGAACTAGGGGACTTGCTTTCTCTGATCTCTCTCAAACTCTTTCTCAGTTCTTGCTTCTTCAGCCCAATCTCGTTTCTGATGAAGTGATTGCACTATTACCAGATTCTGAAAGTTCCTTCACTCCTTAATCCTTATAGCTATAAGGTAATTAACTCTATTCTACTATTATTTTTGTTGTTATTGTGTGTGTGTTTTTTTACTTTCTATTGTGTATGTGTTTCTTTATTCTTAAATATCAGTGGGAAAATGACATCTAGAAAGTCGACAACAAAATTTAAAAACAAGGGCTTACACTATGATTAGTGTGTTGCATCTTTAGAAATCTCAAAAACATCTCATAAAAAGAGATGCACTTAGAATATATGTAAAAGCAGTATGTAAAATTTTGCCTAGGCAGAAACGAAAAAGTTTCCACTTTAAGTTGTTTGCTAGTCCAAATAGGTTGTTTCATTTTTCCTTATTCTTCTATTACTTTCTATGTGATTGCTACATGCTAACCATAGTACTTATGGTGCTGGCTCTCTCAAACTTTCAATCTATTTACTCTACTTTTTTCTTTTGCAGTGCCAAGGTCAAAGTATGATGCTTGTGAGTTGTGACTGATTAAGCAGTAGTGCCACAGATTGCATGTGAATTGTATTAAATGTATGGTTCGGTGTTGTTTATTCTGATTAGTATCATAAACTTGTATTGGTATGAAACTACTATTGGTGTTACAATTGCTATTTGCAAGTGGATAATTTGTATTTTAAATTAAATTTACAAAGCAGTGATTTTTTTTTTATTTTCACTTAATTATTTTCCGACCACCAAATGTGGTCGGAACTGCCAATATCACAGATATACAGAAGTTGGAATTTCCGACGACCTGTGGTCGAAATTTTGGTCGGAAAATCTGAAATTCGCCAATTCTGTTGTGGTCGATTTTTTCCGACAACTTTACAAAAGTGGACGCTACTTCCGACCACGTCATGTGGTCGTCGGAATTACCGACGAGGGTTTTTCCGAACCCCTCAAATGGTTGGAAAAGTGGTCGGAACAGGGTGTTCCGACCGAATTTTGGTCATTTCTGACCACTTTTTGGTGGTCGGAAAATTGACGATTTCCAGCAGTGGAAAAAAATCGAACCGAAACCCGAAACGCCCACCCCTATCATAGAATGAGCCAGCCTAACTATCACGATTTTTTATTTTCAATTCCTATACTAGATATGTCAAGCAATAACGGGTGGGTAAGATAGATGGTTCATGGCATATTCATAAGAAAAATACATAGTTATTTTTATGGCTTAAAAATTTATCCGATTCGTCTAATTTTTCTGACCATCTGAAAATGAATAAAAATTTAGGAACTTTTCAACTTTTTAGACCATGACTATTAGTGGCTTAAAAAGTAGTTGAAAAACTTTTGGTATTAAACCAATCTTATTATATTGATAAAACTCTTGCTATGCCAGATAGATGGTTCATGGCATATTCATAAGAAAAATACATAGTTATTTTTATGGCTTAAAAATTTATCCGATTCGTCTAATTTTTCTGACCCTCTGAAAATGAATAAAAATTTAGGAACTTTTCAACTTTTTAGACCATGACTGTTAGTGGCTTAAAAAGTAGTTGAAAAACTTTTGGTATTAAACCAATCTTATTATATTGATAAAACTCTTGCAAAATTCAACAAAAATGATAATCATCAAATGGCTAAAATACAGATAGATACTAACGTATATCTATCCAAAATTCATGGAGAATCTATTTCTCAAGTATAATATACTAGGATTATTGGATGTTTGATGTATTTAAAGAGTCGTACTAGGGCGAATATTGCCTTTGCGGTTAACAAACTCAATAGATACACTAGTAACCCCAATGATGTGCACTGGAAGGCAATAGCGAGAGGTATGAGATACTTAAGATATACTCGTTACATTGGACTGCACTATACGAGATATTCAGTTGTACTTGAAGTGTATAGTGACGCTAACTGGATATCGGATATTAAGGACTCTAAGTCCACGATTGGCTACATGTTTACGTTAGCTGATGAAGTCGTTTCTTGAAAATTCCCAAAACAAACTGTGATAACTAGATCCACGATGGAATATGAGCTGGTAGCCTTAGATAAATGTTGCGAAGAGATTGAATGACTACATCATTTTCTTAAGGATATTCCTAGTTGGGATAAACATGTTCTTATCCTTGCTAAAGTGAAGGTTAAAAGGGTAACATCTACCTATCCTATTTAGGGATCGACTGTTGAGCACAGTCGTGTCGTTTTTCTCATCCCGAAAATCAATTTTCATTATATTCATATTGGGGATTGTTGGAAATTTTTACCAAATAATGAATGGGGCCAATCAACATAAACACCCACTCCCATTTATTATAAAGCATGCTGCTAGGTAGTATTTAAAGCTGTCATAGGTCGACCGTCTCACGAGAGCGATTGGGTAGTTGTTACCCATAAAATCAAAGAAAAACAGATGGTCAGGTTAGACTATTGTAGAGGATGACGAAACAATGGGTTGAGAAAAAGCTGACAATGAGCCCATTCCATGACGCAAAGACGAAATGACATCTCAACAAGCCACGAACCTCAATTACTCTAGCTCAATATATACCAAAAAGGGTTCTATCTATGTGGGACAGACATTGCTGGAACTTCCTTAAATGCCAACGAGGAAAATGTTGAGGTGGGAGAGTGTTCATTCTGCATGATAGATAGAGACGGTGAACTCCAAGCTCATAGGGCCACGTCTTACACCATTGAAATAATCTTTAAAGATGAAGATATGTTGGTTGGTGGTACACTTCACATTGCCCATAGTTCGTGGAAGGTTATGCCGGCGAGTAGAAAGTTAAAAGAATTTTGATTGATCAAGGGTTCGTTGTGAATATTTTATCACTCCGAGCTATGAAAGAGCTTAACATCTCTACTATTGAGCTATCGCAAAGCCACCAAATGATTCAAGGGTTTAGTCAATGCGGGCAAAGGGCCCTAAGTATTATTAGACTTGACCTAAGGGTCGAGATATTAAATTTAAGTACCCTATGCCATGTGATAGATGCAAGGATGTATTACAATTTAATTTGTTGCTAAGCCTACCTTGGATGCATGAGAATTGAGTGGTCTCCTCATCATGGCACTGATACCTTATATATGTTTGAGAAGGACGGTGCGATAGAAAAGACAGTCTCCTGTGAAAGTCCATTCACCGAGGCGGGGCCTCATACTTTACCGATGCAAAGTTTTACTTGAAAAAATAAGTTGTTATAGAGAAGGCCCATAAAAGCAATGCTAATACACCTCCCAATCTAAAATGGAAGGGCAAACAAACCGTAGAACAAGATCATTGCAACAATAAACTTGTTTCCCCGCTTGCAAGAGTTGAACCACTCAAAGCTGACCTAGTAAAATCACTTGAAGAGGAAAGTTGGGGTAAATCATATCAAATGTTGCCCATTAAGCGCACTGAAGATTTCGATCGTAATGCTTATAAACTTCTATCGAAAGGTTAAAACTATCTGGAAAATGTTCATGTTAATTGAAATGTTTGCTTTTTGTAGGGAGCATAGGGTTGAGATGGGACTATGTGAAGAAAATGAAAGAGGCACTGCACAACAAAGTGGCCGCGAGTTAGTTTAAAATTGTAATAACATTGAATATATCAGAGTTAATAGGACTTGAGTTTTTTCTATTGGACATAGATAGTCTTATAAATGGTTGGTCTTAGTCTAGCCACATGCAAGCCCAATGCCTAGGATTAATCAATAAGAGTCTAAGGCTATCTTTATCCCTGCAAATATCTCTTACTTTTTAAAATGAGTCATATTTCCACACCATCAAATTTACAAACTCTTCACTATTCATTCTACATCCTTACAAATATCTCTCACTTTTAAAAATGAATCTCACTTTCATATTATATTGTAAATACTAGTAATTCACCCACGCGATGCACGGGAAAAAATTATGTTATTATAAATATAAATAAAAAATAGAAAACTAAAATATTTTAAATTATTTAATATAATAATATTTTTGAGCTTCCATTGGTCAAGTATTTATTATTTTTATAGAATATAAAATTAAAATTAAAATTAAAATTATAATTTTGTATGGTTAATATAATCTCTAATTATGTGCATATTCAAATAAACTTATATAGAGAATTTTACATAATATGTATATTATAATTTTCACAATACGAATAATAACTAAGATAATTACATTTGGAAAGCAAATTTCAAATTTTGTATGTGTAAATTTAAACTCTAATTGAACACATTTTTTATATGATTATATAATATATAGCTATTTTATTTTTCAAAAGTATATTTTTTATATGATTATATAATATATAGCTATTTTATTTTTTAAATGTTGTGCTTTTTTTTTTTTTTTTTTTTTTTTTTTTTTTTTTTATAATAAAGGATGTTGTGACATTAATTGTAACATTAATTATTTCCCAAACCATATAGCTTTATTATATAAAGGATAATAATAAAATAAATAAAAAATATACAAAATGTTGGGTGGCGGCCACAAATCAACTTAGCAAGTACTTGCTAATTTGCAATATTTACAATACACATTAGCATAAAATTCAAAAAAAAAAATAATAATGTTTTCTCTCTCTTTCACATTATTTAACGAGAGGTAAACTTTTTGGGATGAGGTTAGCCTAAGCTGTACATATAAAGATAGCTACTCAAGTAGGTCATGTACCAAAATTTTATTGGAAAATGAAAAAAAAAAAAGAGAAAAGAAAAAAAATAGAGGTAAAATAAATCATCATTTTTGTAAAATGTAGTTTGACTCTTGAACTGATAAAAAAATTATTAAATAAACACTTGAACCGTTTTTTATAAAGTAAAATTCACCATTTTTTTACAAGTCAACCCATACAAGATAAATGATATGGTTAATTTTTGCTGATGTGCATTAATATGGCATCCTCAGAAGCACTTTGAAAAACAATTTGTTTTCTTTCTTTTTTGCACATAACATTTTGTTTTCTTTCTTTTTTGCACATAACATTTTGTTTTCTTCCTTTTTTGCAACATAACAACAACTTGGCGGGTTACGGGCTTCTATGGTTTTTCTGATCGACTGCAGTGCCAACACTCATGGCAATTACTTCGAACATTAGCACAGCAAAGTAATGTGCCATGGGTAGTGATGGGTGATTTTAATGAGTTGCTACACCAGTATGAGAAGAGAGGTCGAACTCCCCACCCTGAGGGGCTAATTGCAGGATTTAGGGATGCGATTGCAGATTGTGGTTTATTGGATTTTCTGTTTGGTGGTCATCAGTTTACTTGGGTACGGTCCAGGGGTACACCACATATGGTGGAGGAGAAGCTAGACAGAATATTAACATCTGAGACATGGCTGACGATGTATGGTGCTGCAACGGCAACTTCGTTGATCACCCCGTACATGGCATCTCCCGTTGTTGTTAATACCGGCTGTGGATACTCATAGAGTGGTCCCGCGGCGTTTCTGTTTTGATAATATGTGGCTAAGGGAGGACCGATGTCGGGAGATAGTCGCACATAGCTGGGATACCTCCGCAGGTCTTGATGTGTTATCAAGGATTGAGGCGTGTAGTAGGGATATTTGGAGGTGGGGACGCACATATAATAAAGATTTTCAGATTAAGATTGAAAAATGCAAACATCGTTTGAACACTTTGAGGCCAAGACGGGATGAGGCTGGGTTGGTAGAATATGCTCGTGTTGAGAAAGAGATATTGTTTTTACTTGAACAACAACACATTTTCTGGAAGCAACGGGCTAAAGAGCATTGGTACAGAGAAGGTGACCTTAATACTAAGTTTTTTCATAATTCCTTTAAGGCAAGGAAGCGGAGGAATAGGCTGCATGGGCTCAGGAACTATGAGGGGGTATGGATGGAGGAGGCGGGTACAGTAGAGGGGATTATGGTGGATTATTTTGCTAGCTTGTATGGGTCGGAACAGGGGGATATGAATGAGGTTCTTGACTGTATTGTTCCTAATGTTACTGAGCAGGATAATGAGTTGCTCCTAAGACCGCTTAGTTCGGAAGAGGTATGCAAGGCGGTGACTCAGATGCATCCGGATAAGTCGCCGGGGCCGGATGGGATGGGGCCGGGTTTCTTCCAAAACTATTGGGATATTGTTGGGGGGGAGGGGGGCGGTGACTGATTTTTGCAGATCTTTTGTGGAAACGGCCAAGCTCCCGGCTAAAGCAAATGAGACGTATATTGTCCTAATCCCAAAGAAGGCTAGACCAGAAACAATGATGGACTTGCGACCTATAGCACTGTGTAATGTGCTATATAAGGTGGCTAGTAAGGTGTGTGCCAATCATCTAAAGGTTCTGCTAAACAGGTTGATTTCGGGAGCACAAAGTGCTTTTGTGCCAGGGCGTCTCATAAGTGATAATATTATGCTTACATATGAGGCGCACCACTATCTGAAGAGGAAAACTCAGGGTCGTGAGGGTGTTGTGGCGTTGAAGGTGGATCTGAGTAAGGCCTACGACCGTGTCGAGTGGCGTTGCTTAAGTTGGGGTTTGCAAGAAGATGGATAGATATTCTGCTGGAGACATTAACTTCTGTGCGGTACCACGTGCTCCATGAACAAAAATAGGTTGGTCCAATTGTACCAGAGCGGGGGTTGAGACAGGGGGACCCTTTATCTCCGTATCTCTTCCTGATTGTGGCAGACGGCCTTAGTGCGTTAATAGAAAAGCAAATGCGACAAGGGAGTTTGCATGGGGTAAGGGTAGCGCGAGGGGCACCTCTAATCTCTCACTTACTCTTTGCAGATGATTGTTTTCTATTTTTCGGGGCTAATCTTCAGGAAAGTAATACAATGAGGATGGTGCTAGATACATATTCTGCTGCCTGCGGCCAAAAAATAAATTATGAGAAGTCGGTCGTTTGCTTTAGTTCTAATGTTGATGGTCAGTCCAGAGATGAGGTGGTGGGGATAATGGGGGTTCATGAAGGAGATACTACTGGTCGGTATCTAGGCCTCCCTTCATTAATAGGCAGGCGGAAGAAGGAGGTCCTCGGTTCTATTAAAGAGAGAATTTTAGCGAAGGTAAGGTCCTGGAATGCGAGGTTTCTTTCCAGGGAAGGCCGTGAAGTTATGCTCAAAAATGTTATTCAGGCTATGCCGGCCTACGCCATGATGGTTTTCCTTCTCCCTGTTACTTTATGTAAGGAGGTTAAGGTTATTATGAACTCTTTTTGGTGGACGGGTGTAGCGGTGAATGGGAGGGGAGTCTGGTGGCGTTCATGGGAGGGACTGTGTGTACCGAAGAATAAGGGAGGGATGGGTTTTCGCACATTGCGGGAGATGAATTTAGCACTGCTTGCTAAACAGGCATGGCGTCTTGTTAAGGATCCGAGTTCGCTCGTAGCCCGTGTGTATAAGGCACGATATTACCCCCGGGGTTCCTATTTTGAAGCAGGAGAAGGGTCCAACCCTTCGTATATTTGGCGGGGAATGAGGGCGGTTCAGCAAGTATTGAAGGAGGGCAGCCGGCGGTGTGTGGGAGATGGTCGGAGTATTCTGATAGGCACCGATCCTTGGCTGCCGGATGACGATTTCTCGTATGTGCAAACGGCGTTGCATGAGTCAGTCGCTGGTGCCCCCGTTGCTTCTTTGTTGAATGAACAAGGTACGTACTGGGATGTGGAGTGTGTAAGGGATTTGTTTAGTACAAGAGATGCTAATCTAATTCTACAAATACCAGTTAGTATTCATAAACCGCCGGATACATGGGTTTGGCAATGGGATAGTAAAGGTGTTTTTATGGTGAAATCTTGTTATAGACATATTGTTTCCCATGCTATGGACCCGAGGCCATGGGCATCAATCTGGAATCTTAGTGTTCCACCAAAAGTTAGAGTGTTTGGTTGGCAGCTGGCAGCATCATATTTACCAACACGTGATGCATTGATAACGCGACATGTTGATTGTAATCTTATATGTCACATGTGCAGGGAGGAGAACGAGAATGCGCATCATCTTTTTGTTACTTGCCGTGAGGCTGCTGTGGCACGGAGGAAGCTGGGGCTTCTGATCACCCATGTCGCCGGAGACAGTGTAAGTGAGTGGTTGTTCAACTGCATTGCAATTTTGACACATGACCAAATGTCCAAGTTGTTGATGTTGTGTTGGGGTTTGTGGACAGCCAGAAATGACCCAGTATGGAATGCTATACCTTGGGACCTGGAGTTGATGTTGCAGCGAACCATGGTATATTGGGAGAATTGGGGTGCGGCACAACAAGTAAATGCCATTCAACAGCCTGGGGAGATAGTGGAGCGGTGGGAGAGACCGAGAAGGGGAAGACTGAAATTGAATACGGATGCATCAGTTGATAAGCAGCATGGTAGGGTGGGGTTCGAATGGGTGCTAAGAGATGACGATGGCCGTTTTCCTGCCAAAAATGGAAGGATGACGGGGTTTTTCGAACCTAAAGAGGCCGAGGCTATGTGTATGCGAAAAGCATTAAGTTGGATGAAGGATACGGGTATGGGTAATGTAGATGCCGAAATAGATTCACAGCTACTTAATAATGTTATTCTTAGTGAACCTTTTTTCTCTTCGTTTGGGTTTTTGGTAGAGGATATTAAAGAATTGGCATCTACCATTAATGATGTCGAATTCCGGTTTGTAAAACGATCTGCGAATCAGGTTGCCCATAGTCTTGCTCGGGCGGCTGTTTCTATGCCAGATTGTGGGGAGTGGTTTGATGTGCCACCGTTTTTTCTTGTAACTTACCTTGGAGATGATATAATGAATTAAGTTGTTCTTACCCAAAAAAAAAAAAAAAAAAAAAAAAAAAAAGATCAAAGTTATTTAATTTTTCTCTTCTCCTCACAACAAAAAGGTACCCAAAACCAACAACCTCCAGCTACAATGGTGGAAATCCGCCAACCTCATAACCTTGGAAGATTGTTCAATTTGGATGAAGGAGAGGACGTTTATTGCAATTTTGAGGCAAAAAAATATTAATAAGCACAAATGCTTTCTCTAATCGTCTCGATATGTACTCTCAAATCTTACTCTATCAATTTTATTCCCTGATGTGACGGGCTTTCGATAAGGTTTTTTTTTTTTTTTTTTTTTTCTTTTTTCAGGTGGGTCTCAATACAAGTGTCTACATCAAGATTTTTTGTGTTAGTAAAAATTGGAAGTGTAAAATGAGAGTATACATAGTGTTTTCCTTGTTAATTTGAGGCAAAAAATATTGATAAACACAAAAATAAATATTAAAATTTAACGGGGCGTTTGGTTGGTAGGAAGGAATTATGTAGGAAAGGAATTGCAATTTCATGGGAGATGAATTAATGAGAATAGTGAGAATTTAAATTCCAGTGGTTGGTTTGCAGGAATAAAATTACTTGGGAATTTCAATTTCAATGTTTGGTATACATGGGAATTGAAAACATTGAAATTGAAATGAAATAAGTAGTATAAAGTCCAAAATGTTCATTGTTGTTGTCAGACATTAATTTTAGGTTAAAAAAGGGAAAGTAATTTTGTCTCATCATTATCTTTTTTTTGTTCCCAAGATCCATTGGGATTTTAATTCCATGAAAATTAGAGAATTGTAATTCCTTCCAACCAAACTAAGGAATTTAGTGACCTTTGAAATTAGGTGGAAATTAAATTTAAATTCCCTCCAACCAAACGTCCTGCAAGTACTAAAGTATATAGGTTACAACTTTTATATTCCCAAAATGTTCTCAAAAATAAAAATCAATAATTTCAAATATTTATTTCAAAATAGGGATATTATTAGTTATTATTTGCGAAGATAAAAAGTAATCATATTTCAAAATAAAGATTTAAAAGTTGTTGTCATAACACTTCTGCAGTTCTGCCTAACACTTCTTTATTTACAAAGATATCTATGTACCTGTTAAGCTTTAGTGGGAACTAGTGTTAGAACAGCAACAGGTTTAACACTCAATGAAAAGCTTCAACGCATGGGAGTTTGGTTGAGCAACTTGCGATTTATCTTCTCTGCGACTTTTAGGCAAGGGTTCTGGGAGCTTAAGATTAGTTTAGCGTAAACTGAAAAACTTAATATATCAAAAAAAAAAAAGAAAAAAAAGTAAAAGCTTCAAGGCACCACCATCATCACCAATTCCAAACAAATAATGGTTTTCAATCGAGCAAATATCAATTTTGATCCCACGAGTATTAGCAAAATGACAGTTTTAGTCCACATGTTTAATTCTTACCAATTTCCATCCTCGACTATTATTTACCAATTTTCATTCAAGACTATTATTTTAGTGTCAAAATTTATCACGTCAGTCACCCCTTCGTTTAAGATATGCCGAAATATGAAATTATTAAGGATATTTTTATCATTTTCAAATTAAGATCTCAATTTGAGCATGAATAAAGAGATTTAATCTCTAAGATCGATCACAATTTGCAGTTCTCCTCCTCAAATTAAGGTAGGATGAGAAGGAGAATTGCGAATTGGGGTTGATCTTAGGGCTTAAATCCCTTTATTTATATTCAAATTGAGATCTTGAAAAAAGAGGAAAATACCCTTAAATTTTTAGATTTCGACATGTCAACGGAGGGGTGACCGCCGTGATGAATTTTAACACAAACAATAGTCATGGATGAAAATTGATACTAAAACAATAGTCGTGAATGAAACTTGGTAGAAATTAAACATATGGACCAAAATTGGCATTTACTCGTTTTCGATCACTGGAATGGGAAGGCATGTTGAGCTCTTCAATAACTTCAGCCATGGCTGGCCTGTTTTCTGGAAGCTCATTTGTGCAATCCAGAGCTATTTTGGTTAGCTTAGCAGCCTCAGTTTCAAAGAACCTGCCTTTGAGATTCAGGTCAATCAAGTCTGTGAAGCTGCAGGACTCAGCTGCCTGTCTCATTGAGCTGTTGAGTATACATTTCCCTGACAGTACTTGGAGGATGATGACTCCAAAGGCATAGACATCGCTCTTTTCTGTGAAGCGCCCGGTGGTGATGTACTCGGGAGCCATGTATCCGAGGGCAGCGCTGACCTTGAGGGCCGAGTAGACGACATCTTCTGCAAAGAGTTTTAGAAGGCCACAATCTGAGATGAGTGGAGTGAACTGCTCATCAAGGAGGATTTTCTCCACTGATATGTTCTGATGAATAATGGTTGGTTTGTTGGGTTCAGAACTGTGTAAATACCCAATACCTGTTTATGAAAAGCACAGTGCATATCAGTAGAAAGAAGATAAAACTATGGCTTTTCACCTAGTCTTTCAGCAGGGATGCATTTTAGACTTTTAGTGCCATTTTGGTGTCAACAATGGTTTTCATGTATCATGGAATAGATAAAATGCAAGAGAACAAGTTCATAGTAATGAATTTCTTCTTCTTTTTTGAGGTAATCGAACCTAAGTTGCCCATAATTGACTGCCTCAGACCAAGAAAGCCAATAGGCCACTCCCGTTGGGAGTCAAACTTGTAACATTCTGGTTACCAAGTCAACAGTCTGACCAATTTGGCTAAGGTTGCCCCTAGTAATGAATTTCTTAGTTCAACCATAAAGGATAAGAAGAGAATGAATATCTGGGGGGTAACGCCAGCCGAGATGGCTAAGCATACAAACACATAACCACAAGGTCACGGGTTCAAATCTCAACTTTCTTGGTTTGAGTCGGTCAGCTAGAGACAACCTAGGCTGGTTTACCTCTTTGTGGTCCTTTACTGGCTAGGGTCGCAAGGCGGGTTTCCCTCGTCACCCAAAAAGAGAATGAATATCTAGAAGACACTTAATGAATTTGCAAGTTGCTTGGCTTTTGCATAATGTCATATTCAGGCAATTAATCTCATCTAAAACCTTTCATTTTCTGCACCAAGAAAATCAATTACACATTTACACCATGCAATTATAGCCAACACTGGTTCACACCTTTGATTCAACAAACAACTAACATTAATTGCTTTCTCACTTTGGTGTTTTTAGCTGCCATTTTTGAAAGTTCAAAGTATAAGTTGATGATAATTATAGTAAAAATCTAACCTTTTGCAATGCCTTTGATGATAGAAACTCTTGTAGGCCAGTTGAGAGTTCTCTTGTTACCTTCTTCAAGGTCAAGGTACAGTGCCAAAGTACCATTGGAAGCAAAATTATAGATCAAAAAACACTCACCCCTTCCCTTTGAACAACAGAAACCCCTGAGATTAACGAGGTTATCGTGCTTCAGAGAGGTTAGCAAGTTCAGCCCTTTCATAAACTCACACTCCTCAGACTTACAAGCCGTTACGTTTATGCTCTTGATGGCCACTACAGATCCATCCTTTAGTGTTCCTCGATAGACAGCCGAGAATTTGCTTCTCCCCAACAAATTCTTCTCCGAGAAATGCTGAGTTGCAGATTCAACCTCCTCTAAGTTATACTTGAACCCCTGTAAGAATTCATTCCCCAAGGTGCAACAATCCGGGCTCATTGGATCCCATCGCTCTGAATACTCGACATTCATCAGTGTCGATGGACTTCTCCTGCACAATTCCTTTCCCGGATAATCATCAGTAGCCTCAGAGGTGTTCCCAACTTTTTGTTTATGCCTCCTAGAACGGAACATTATAACACCCCCAATTACCAACAATATGACCACTAGAGATATAGCCCCAACAATAATGCCCACCTCTCGAAACTTGGAGGACGATGAACTTGAGCAATGGCTTTCGTTACAATAATGCAGGTGAAAGTTTGCACTCTCTGGAATACTTTCTGGGGAAGTATTATTACTACTAGATTTAGGCATAAACGGTTCGCCCTCATTGACATTTACATCATCCCAGCGAGTGCAAGCTCTCAACAGCGGGAATCCAACGCCACATAAACCGGGATTGTTTCCGCCATGGAATCCTTCATTCAATCTTTTCAAACCTTCACATTTGAAGCCATACATATATACATAAACAAAATTAAGAAATGCAGAACACAAGATCAAAATTTTCTTTTAAAAAATGCAACTAACCAGGAGGGGCAGCTCCAGAAAGGGTGTTGTTTTGAACATCAAGAAACTCCAATTGGGGAGCAGTGGCCAATCTAGTGGGAATTGGACCAGAGAGGTGATTAAAGGCTAAGTAAACCCTCTTTAGCATTCTAAGGTTCCCTAAACTTGCAGGGATTAGGCCAGTCAACCTGTTATATTCCAAAGCTAGAACACCCAAATCCTTCAAGAACCCAAATTCTGTAGGTATGATCCCTGTTAACTGGTTGCAACTCAGCTGCAGCACTGAAACCCCCAAGTATGAAAATCTTAAAATTAATAAGCAAATAGGAACACTCAAAACTCAAAAGGGCTAAAAGAAATCCTTGAAAATATTAATAAAAATTAAAAATTTCCCAGATTTTTAACCATCCCATTCAAGAAACATGTAAAATTTCCTATTCAAAATCAGAACTTTTCTTATTCAATTGGTTCTCAGAAGCAGTAAATACTTCAAATTTTTGTAATTTTAAGATAAGGCCAGAAAAGCACAAACCTTTCAGACTGGGCATGCTTCCAATCTCAGGGGGTAAGTTCCCAGAAAAATTGTTGACATTGAGGTACAAATCAGTCAACTCAGTGAGATTACCAATCTCCCTGGGAATCTCCCCAGTCAATTCATTGTAATGCAAGTAGAGGCCGGACAAGCACTTGAGCTGCGCCACCGCCGGCGGCAATTTTCCGGCGAGCCCTCTGCTTTGCAGGGAAATATTACCCACCTTATTCAGCTCATTGCAAGCCACCCCTTCAAAGGAGCCGCCACAGGGATCCCCATCACTGGTCCAAGAAGAAAGGTGCTTGTTTTCTGGGTCCAAAGCAGCCTTTATCTCCAGCAAAGCTATAAGCTCAGCATTTCCACAAACACCACGTAAACAAGAAAAGCCAAGAAACAGAAGGGAAATGAAAAGAACATTAGAACCCATTCCTGGGAACGATCAAAAATTTGCCTTTTTTTTTTTTAAATCCTACTTTTTCTCTGCAAGATCAGGAAAGGTTTAGAAATGAGACTTTGAGTGCATGTCAGAGAGGCAGATGAGAGAGAGATGGCGGGCGATTAAAAAGGATGGGTGTGAATTGCGACTTTTGAGTATACAGTTTCACACATGCATGCATATTTCACTATTTTATTTTTTTTTTTTTTCCTTTCAAATACAGACTGGTATTAGTCAATCATTTACACTAGATTAGTGGATTGTGTCTAAGACAAAACAATGAAAAAATGCCTTTAATTTCATTTTTTGCACACCTTTTGATAAGCGATTCATTTTTGGTTTTGGATTAATTATACTTTATTTCTTGGATCACCCCACTACTTTTGCTTCTAAATCAAAATGGAAAAGTTAAATGACACATTTCTATAGTATCTTGTGTCTTAATTGCTACGATTGATTAATGTTTTTTATTATTAATACTATTCCCTCTATTTTATTTTATATGTATTGTTTAATTAACGAGGTTTGACTGAAATTGCTTTAAATTTAATTTTTTATAATATTAAATTTAGTATTTCGACTGTTTCATTTTATGTCTTACTTTTGGTCAAATCAACTCTTTCTTCTTTACTTATTTCTATTAGTATTTTTTTTTATAATTTTTAAATTTAATTTTTTGTGTTTAATAGTACTTTTAATGTAGTTTCTAAATATATAAATTTTACATACTAATCTATACTTAATATTATAAAAAATTAAATTGTATATAAGTTCAGTCAAACCTCGATAATCGAACTCGACACATAAAATGGGACGGAAGGGGTATTAATATACGGAGTATAAAATTTATATATTTAAAAATTTAATTAAAAGCACTATAAAATGCCAAAAAAATAAAAATTAATAAAGAAAATAAATAAAGAAGAAAGATAACAAAGTGTTATATGCTAAGTTTTTACTTTTAAAATATTTGTAGTATTACTTAAATATGAAAGAGATTAGAAATTTCATAATACACATATGGTGTTACATGTTATTGGTGTTTTTGTTGTATCTAGTACAACTACGTAGGGGTAGCAGATTGTATTGAGTAATTTTTTTTTTTTTTTTTTTAATGATGAGAGTTTATGAATACTTTTGAGTTTTGACATTAGTGTATGCGCACAATCTCAATTGTTTGGTTTTATATTGAGTTTGTTTTTTTTGCAGGGATATATAGAAAAGAGAGAGGAGAGAGAAGAAGGAAAAGAGGTAAAAACAAAAAAACAAAAAAAAAAAAAAATACAAAACAAAACTAAAACAAAAACAAAAAGGCAATTTATGCACACTGCATGCACCTGCTGCGATAGTCACTCCAGAGTCCGAACAGCTCAGTTGGTTATAGGGATGAAATTTATGAAAAATGATTAGGGATCGAGTCTCATTCGACAGTGTGGGAGCAACCACATTTACATCTAGAGAAAAATTTGCAACACCCTCCCTACGGAAAATGATTTCTGAAAATATTTTCTATTTGGTGTATGATGGTCAACGGAAATTAATTTTCGGTCAAAAAAAAAACAAGTCAATTTTTTCAGAAAATGACTTTCCCTTTTTTTTTTTTTTTTTTGGAGGAAGTCATTTTCCGGAAAACCCATAGCAACTTTTTTCATATTCTCCATCTTCTTCGTTGGTTCCCGTCAGGAACAAAAAATTTGGTTTCTGATGGAATCCAATTTAATTGGTTTCCAAATGGAAACCATTTATTAGTTTTCGTCGAAAAACTTATGGTTTCCAGCTTCGGAATTTTTTTTTTTTTTTTTAATGAAATCATTGCTCTTTTTAAATTTTATTATTAATATTGAATTTTTAAAAAAATACAATTTTGCTCACACTAAGACAATTTTCTGAAATGCAACCAAACATGGTAAATGAAAATATTTTCTAGAAAATGACTCATTTTCTGAAAAACATTTTTCAGAAGTCATTTTTTAAGTTTTCAAAAACACCCTTAGGGGGCGTTTGGTTCACGGAATGTTAGATTACCTTAGAGAATGTTAGATTCATGTGTTTGGTTTAAAACTAAGATATGTAAATAAGACAACGGTAATAAGATAAATTGATTGAAACGTCCAAAGCCCAACATAATAAGACAAGGGAATGTGAGATTACCTAAGAAATTTGAGGGTTTCTCACATTCCCTTCCAAAGTTTCAATAACTAAAAGTTTAATGCGGAGGTTATCTGATATTCCCTGAGAAAGTTACATAACCTGAACCAAACATCGGAATCTTATATTACCAAGCAAATATAACATTAGTATCTTATATAACCTGAACCAAACGCCCCCTCAGTTCTTTATTTCGCAAAAGAATCGCTAAAAAAACACTGATGTGGTTGCCCTAAAAAGTATCAAGTACAATTTGTTATAGGTGCGTGTCTCTACCATGTACAACACCACATTAGTGTCAATCTACGATTTTTTGACTGGGATTCAAACAACTGAATCGAATAAAACATAGTAAATGTTGGCGCCACAATGGGAGCAAGTGAACAATAAGGATGGACGGGTGTGGATATAATGATCTATCAATTCTATTCCATAAAGGCTCACACGCTCCTTCCACCCTATATCATCATTTCATGTATATACGTACCCTTTACTTTACGGAACCGTTCAAATTTTCAACATTCCGCCTTCATTCCTCAACCGTGTGTGTGTGTCTCTATATATATCTTGAAATTTAAAATTAAAATCTCAACACCGATTGTCTCCCACTAACTTAAATTTAAGTGGGGATATGAAGCCATGAAGGTACGGTTTGACAAGTCGAAACCAATTCAAATATGCGGCTAAAGAAATAAACTATTTGGGTCTTAAGTTTGACTTGATGTAGGGGGGAAAAAAATGAAGATCTATGAATTAAAAATATAGCCTTTAATTGGGAATAACTGGTATGTATAATTGGGTCCCAAACCTGATCCAACCAATCTTCGATCCCCGTCCCGTCTCCATTTCCCGAATAATATATATATATATATATATATATATATATATATATATATATATATATATATATATATATATATGTATGTATGTATGTATGTATGTATGTATGTATGTATGTATGTATGTATGTATGTATGTATGTATGTATGTATGTATGTATGTATGTATATAATAATAATAATAATAATAATAATAATAATAATAATAATAATAATAATAATAATAATAATAATAATCAAAATCTTAAAGGTCAAAACTCAATTTAACTTTGAAACTTAAGATATTTCGGACTTTTGAAGTTTGGACATTTCAGTATTTATGTGTTTTGGACTTTGTTTAATGATTCCAGGCTTAAGAATTTAACATAACATTTGATATATTTGAAAATTTGAATGAATAATGTTAGGTTAATTAAATAATTAAAATAATAATATATTTTTTTTTTTCATTGGCATCAATCAAAAAACGAGACGGGGATTCCCTGTCTCCGAAAAATCTCTGCGGAGGAACGGGGTGGGGTCAAGGAATGGGAACCTATTTCGAGGATAGGGATCATCCCCGCCCTGTTGCCATCCCTAGATATGAAAAACTACTTGGGTGAGCTTAAGGATGGGAATAGGTCATGCCTTTTGTAGGGGCCTATGGTATGCCCTAATTAAGGCCTAGTTAGGCTTTACTTGTTTAGTAAAAGGCTAGACTTAGTCCCATTTCAAAGAATATTAAACTAAACAGGTTAGGCCTATATATACCAGGCCGGTCTTCAAGCCTACAGGCTTAGCCTAATTTAATTATATGTGGCAAATTATGTTGTGCAACCGTGTGCATGGTGCACACGGTTGCAAAAACAGCGTCGTTTTACTTAAAAAAAAAATCATTTTCGTTGCCGTTAATTACGTAAACATATGTTCATAATTTTATAATTTCACATTCTGAATGTATAGTTATGAAGTTATGGATGTGTAGTTATGCAATTCTGAATGTATAGTTATGAAGTTAATGGATGTGTGGTTATGCAATTCTGAATGTATAGTTATGAAGTTATGGATGTATAATTCAAATTATGCGCAACATGTCGCTAACGACAATCGAAACTGAATTATTTTTTTAAAGTCGGACGTCAAAACGACGTCGTTTTTGCAACCGTGTGCACCATGCATGGTCCACACGGTTGCACAGCATAACGACTCATTATATGTATACATATACATTAATATATATAAAAATTTGTAATATTAAGTTAGTATATATTATATTTTATACCTAATATATTTTTATATTTACAATATAACCTCAAATATATATAGTTAGCAAACTCTAACCTTACATCTTTAAAATCTCATTCTAAATTCTGATTTAACTATACACATTGCTATTAATCCTGCTATAAGTGTTCTCATTGTTTAATTGTTTATTAATTTTTCTTACTGTTATAATATTTAATGAAGTGACGCGAATTAATTATGTGAACTGAATGTTAACTATTTATGAAATTATATAGGATGACAAGCAATAACACAATTGAATTTATTCCTAAACAAGGTAACGTGCATGTTGAAGTTGTGACTTATTTTATTTTATTTTATGTTTTAATGCTATTATGTTTGCATTGCGACGATATACTTATGTAGTTATATATTAGTTTTGTATTATGTACATTTCTTAAATTATTTAGAAATACTTATTAAATTTTTTAAAAAGACTTAACATGTAGGCATTAAATAGACTCGAAGCAAGAACTTACTTTAAAACTATTTTAGTGGCCTACATATTAAACATATTTTTAAAAAGGCTTTAGGCCAGGCTTGGCCAATTATAGGATCAAGCTTGACCCTAATAAAAAGCCTACATATAAGCTTGTCGTAGTCTTTTTGCTAATGTCGTAGTCTTGTAGACTTGAAGGTGTGGTTTTCCCACAATCGTTATACCCTGCACCACGGCGCCCATAATTGCATAACGACGTCGTTTTGGGAGGCGCGGTAGGGAGTTGACGTGATTATGTGTATTTGTTTATAAATTATGTGTATTTGTTTATACAATTATGCATATTTTTTATACAATTATGTACATTTTTTATACAATCATGTACATCTTTTTTTATACAATTATGTACATCCGAAACAGGAAATTTATGTGTATTATGTTAAGAGTTGATGTTTATTATGTTAAAAGTTTATGTATATTATGTATTATGTTAGATTATATGTATTATCTTTTTTAAAAAAAAGTATGTGTATTTTGTTATACAATTATTTACATTCATATATACAATTATGTGTATTCTAGTATAAAATTATGTACATTTTTGAATATGTGATTTTTTTTAAAGAAAATTAACCGCCAACACAGGGTAGCGAAATTTCAAAAAAAAAAAAAAAAAAAAAAAAAAAAACTGAAACGACGTCGTTTTGCATCAGGGTGCACAATGCAATGCACACCCTGGTGCAGGATATAAATTGCCGTTTTCCAAGCAGGTTTATATAGTCTCATAGTTTTTCTCCCCTTGCATCCAACAACAACAACAATAATATAATAATTTTTACTCCTGGGACTTAGTGTAGTTAGTTCGTTGTTTGACTTAATAAAAATCATAACTAGAGGTTGCAATGTGGGGTTCGGGGTTTGAATCCAACTGAAAACATGAAATGTATTAGAAAAATTGTCCAAGAATGTTAAAAATGTCTTTAATGAATTTTCAAATAAACACTTAAATTAATGTTTTCAAAAAAGAAAATTGAGCTATTTTGACCTCTTATTACATGTTACATTCATCTTAAATAATTTGATAAGAATTTTTAAAAATATTCAAAAATGTATTTGATTATGATGGGGATATTGGAGGTGGGCCATGGGCATAGAGGGCCTACGTTATTGGGCCGACAGGGAGAAGCAGGAAGACTGGGCCGGGGGGTCAGGAGGGGTCGCCGGCGCCGGCGGCCGGACAAGGGCGCCGGCTGGGGCGCTGGCCCCGGCCGTGGGACGCGACCCCAGTGCGGCCGGAGCCCGACCCAGCATGGCCCTAGAGCCCTGACACGCTGGGGTGGCCATGGCCGGCCCCGGGCGGGGGGCCGGCGCTGGTGGCCGAAAGAGGCGTCGGCCGCGGCGCACCCAGAGCGGCCGCAACGCTCCGACGCGCCAGGGTGTTGGGCGGCACCCGCACGCAGGGGGCGGGCAGGTGCGCCGAGCATGGTGAGCTGGGGGCGGTGTGAGCAAGGTGGCAAAGGCGCGGGAATCCTGGGAGGGCGAAGAACGTGACGTAAATGGCGACAAACAAGCGGAGTGGGGAGTGACAACGTGGGACACTTGGACGCCAAGGAAGGAGGGGTGTTATGCTATAAATAGGGGTCCCGGATCCCTAGCTAAGGGCAACACAGACGACAGGCACTACGGTCTAGTGGTCTTGATCTCATACTCGCAATCCAACCACCTGGGTTTGACTCTCCGTAGTAGCATTGTTAGTTATAGTCCATCCTTTGGGCCTTACTCTTTGCATTTAGGCCTGTACCTCGGGTTTTTGTACCCATGATTTGGGCCTGGCGCCCTACCCCCGTACTGTATCTTCTGTACCCGATTTATGGTGGACCCTATCCCAATATAACCATCATTGGCACCGTCTGTGGGGACCACTACGATTAGTCCGTGTTAGTAGTCTCTACCACTCTAACAAAATTCCGAGGTACGTCGAGATGGTCAGCCCATCAGGGGAGCGCCTGCTTAACCCCCCGCGTAGCGGGGACGGACGAGACGTCGGCCGCCGCGAGGTGTCGGAGGCGCCCGCCTCGGTTCGCGCCGAGGACGGGAGACGCGGGGACGGCGAGCGAGCCAACGTTATCCACTCCCGGCAGCCCCCGGTGGGCCTAATCGTGGTGCCACGTGGCCATGGGTTGCGGAGGGCTGGTGCCTGCGAGGTTGGTCTGGATGAAGCCGAAGGCGAAAGCGCATATCGCCCCCTGGGACCGGCGGCTCGGGTCAACCCCCCGGCGGAATGGCTAGACGCGATTAACACCAAGATAGATGAATTAGTGCGGTGGAAGGAACATGGAGCTCACACCGTGATTCCCCGGATTTCCCTCACCCCACTCTTCACCCCCAATATCATGAACGAACCCCTGCCCCCCAACTTTAAAGCCCCTGACATGAGGAGGTATGACGGTACAGGCGATCCCCAAGAACACGTCCTGACATACCAGGCGGCTATGATGCTCATGGGGTCGTCGGACGCCCTGATGTGTCGTGCGTTCTTCTCTACGTTATCAGGGGGGGGGGGGGCGCAACGATGGTTTACGAACCTGAAAGGCGGCTCGCTGGGCTCGTTCCAAGATCTGGCCACCGGGTTCATTACCCACTTCCTGAGAGGGAGGAGGCGCAAGACGCATTTCACGCATCTCGCTAGCGTCAAGCAAGGGGAGGATGAAACCCTTACCGAGTTCCTCGCGCAGTGGAGGAAGGATGAGGCCGAAGTGGAGGACATGGATGACCAGTCCGCGATGGTCATGTTCATCGTAGCCCTCTGTGCCGGGGAACTATACAAGAGCCTCCGCCGCAAGGCCCTCGGGTCGTACGCGACCTTGATGATGAAAGCTGACCGGTATGCCGACGCTGAAGAGGCCATCCGCATGAAGCGTTTAGAAGAACACAACAGTAGCAAGAAGTCGCGGCTCGAGGAACCACCACGCCCCAAGAAGGGAACTAATTACTTGCAGGAGGGTCCGGAGGATAGGAAGGTTAGCTCCGGGGGGTTCACGAGCCCCCCCGTTGCCATGGGCGCCGCCAGCGCCTGTCCCGGCGCGGTGAACGACGTCGGCACCCCCGGCGGCGTGGACAGCCCCGCGGATCGCCCCTTTCACCCCGCTTATCGCCCTACCTAGCGATATCTTAGCTTATGCGGAGGAGTGTCAGTTGGTGAAAACATTTGGTCCCAACCCGATCCCGCCGGGCGCAGACACAACGAGATATTGCAAATTTCACCGCCGTTACAGCCACGCCACCAATGACTGTCAGGCATGAAGGAAAGAGATAGAGTTCCTCATACAAGCAGGAAAGTTGACGAATTTCATAGACTGGGAGCGGTTGGCTACGAGAAACGCCAGGCGCGCGACGGTTGGGCCTGCAGGGGAGGCTAAGGAGAAATCGACTGACTCCGGGGCAGGCCTGGGGAAGCGCCAAGTGATTAATGTCATCTTTGGAGGAGGGGACCCGAGGGAGGATGGAGGCAGTTATGTAGGTGCAGTGGACGAACACCCCCAGTTGAAGAGGCCCCACCGGGAACCGATTTGGTTTTCTGACAACGACTTGCCAGCAAGGGAGACTACCCCGAAGGACGCGCTCGTGGTCGCCATGGTGGTCAACGGGGTCTGCGTGAAGCGTGTGCTTGTGGACACGGGGAGCAGTGTCAACGTAATGTATCACGGCGTCTTCGTAAAGTTAGGGCTGAGCGAGGATCAGCTCCGGCCAGTGAGGACGCCATTGGCTGGTTTCACTAGAAACACCATAGAGACAGAGGGGTCGGTAGTACTCCCCGTGGAAGTCGGCAGCCCCCCGCACGTGAAAAAAGTGGACATGGAATTCCTTGTAGTCAGGATAGTATGCGTCCATAACCTCATCTTAGGGAGGCCTGGGCTGGCAGGGTTGGGTGGACTTATTTCGATGGAGCATTTGTGTTTGAAATTCCACACCCCCGAGGCAGTGGGGATGGTACGGGGTGATCAGCACCTCGCCCGGAAGTGCTATAAGACGGCGTGTGAAAGAATGTTGACGGAAGAATTACCTGTCCATACAGTAGAGAAGGAGGTTGAGAGGGAGAAGAAGGTGGGACCCGAACCAGCCGTGGAGTTGGAGGAGATCCCCCTGGACCCTAGTCGACCTGAAAAATGTGTCAAGATAGGCAAGGGCCTTGCCCCAAGACTGCGGGAACAGATCATAGCTGTCCAACGCGAATACTCGATGATATTCGCATGGGGTCCCGAGGACATGCTCGGGATCGATCGCTTTATCATATCACAAAGGCTGGCGGTAGATCCCCGTTTTAAACCCATAAAGCAGAAAAGACGACACTTGTCGGCCGAGAGGAGGGCATTCGTGAAGTCCGAGGTAGACACGTTCCTAGCAATAGGGCACATACGGAAGGCAATGTACCCAGCTTGGCTGGCCAACGTAGTCCTAGCCCCGAAGCCGCCCACATGGCGCATGTGCGTGGACTACACGGATCTAAACAAGGCATGCCCCCAAGACCCTTTCCCTTTGCCCCGTGCGGATCAGCTAGTGGACGAGACATCAGGATGTGAGTTGCTGAGCTTTATGGACGCGTTCAAAGGATACCACCAGATCTTCATGGTGGAGGAGGATGAGGAGAAACGGCGTTCGTGACCCCGGATGGGATATACTGTTATTGGGTCATGTCATTCGGTCTAAAAAACTCTGGAGCCACGTTCACCCGCATGGTGGCAGAAATATTCAAGGACCTCCTCGAAAAATATAATGGAGGCCTACGTGGACGACATGCTGGTGAAGAGCAAGGACGCCGGCACCCACCCAGAATATCTAGCCCGGTGCTTCGAGATTATGAGGCAGAAGAACCTGCGCCTGAACCTAAAGGAATGCGCGTTCGCGGTGACGGGAGGGAAATTCCTAGGATTCATGGTTACTCACCGGGGGATAGAGGTCAACCCCGAAAAGGCACAAAACATCCTCAAGATGCAACCCCCCACATCGATATAGAACGTCCAGAGACTCAACGGCCGACTGGCCGCCTTCAACAGATTCATGTCCAAGCTCGCGGAGAAGTCCCTCCCATTCTTCAATGTCATGAAGCAGAGGAGCAGTTTCACTTGGACCCCGGAATGCCAAGAGGCCTTCGACCAGTTTAAAGCATACTTATCCGCGGCGCCGGTTCTTTCCAAGCCAGAGAGAGGGGAGACATTGTATGTATACCTCGGGGTGGCACCCGCGGCCATTAGCTCGGTGCTACTCAGAGAGGAAACAGGCATCCAGAAACCTATCTATTACGTCAACAAGGCCCTGCATTACGCCGAGCTCAGGTACACCCCGCTTGAAAAAACAGTATACGCCCTCGTTAGAACGGTCCGGAAGCTAGTATACTATTTCCAAGCACACTATGTAATCGTCCTGACAGACCAGCCCCTGGGCACCATCCTGAGAAATCCGGTCTCGTCGGGCCGCATGGTGAAGTGGGCGGTCAAACTCTCCCAGTATAGCCTCGAATACCGCCCCCGCACGGCTATCAAGGGCCAAGCCCTCGCTGACTTCATCTTAGAATGCACTATCCCGGAACGCAAGGAAGGACAACCTGAAGAAAGCATAGGGGAGTGGGAGATGTACACCGACGGCGCCTTTAGCAAAAAGGGTTGTAGAGGTGGCGTCGTGCTCATCTCGCCAGAAGGGTTGAAAGCCTACCAAGCCCTCAGATTCCGCTTCACTCTCTCCAACAACGAAGCTGAATATGAGGCCTTAATCGGGGGCCTGAGGTTGGCCCAGGCCCTGCAAGCACGCAGCCTCAAGATTCGGTCAGATTCGCAACTGGTCGTGGGCCACGTCAACAACCAGTTCGAAGCGCGGGAAGACAGGATGCGGCAGTACCGGGACGTAGTGCAGAGATTATTGCCCTCTGTAGATCGGTGGGAACTAGCCCAAATTCCGAGGACAGACAACGGCGAGGCAGACCTACTGTCTCGAATTGCCCAAGGCGTCGAAGACCACCTAAGTTACATGCCAAAGATAGCCCGGACGATCGACGTCAACGCACCTAGGATAGGAAAGGACGAAGTCCTAGCTATAACGCCACCCCCAGACGAATGGATGCAGGAGATGACCCGTTACAAGGAACAGGGTCTCACACCGCATGACCCCCAGAGAGCACGAAAGATAGTGGCCATGGCTCCGTCTTACCGAATGATTGAAGGACGATTATTCAAAATATCCTTCGGGGGGCCCATGCTCCGGTGCTTAACCAGGGCAAAAGCCGACAAAGTCATCGCGGAAGTCCACGAGGGAGTGTGTGCCGCACACCAGGGCGCCCAAACCTTGGCTAGGAAAATTATCTTGCAAGGATACTACTGGCTCCGCATTAGATCCGATTGCCAAGACAATGGGAGGAAGTTCCCTACGTGCCAACAATTCACGATTTTACCCGGCAAGCCCGCCTCCTACTACACCCTGGTCACCTCAGCCATCCCATTTGCGTGGTGGGGTGTTGACTTGGCAGGACCTTTCTCCAAGGGGGTGGGAAGCCTAAAGTTCTTAATCGTAGCCATAGACTATTTCACCAAATGGGTAGAGGCGGAGCCCCTTGCCTCCATCACAGGGACCCAGTCCCGAAAATTTATGTGGAAAAATATCTTCACAAGATTTGGGTTACCCCAGCAAGTCGTGTCCGACAACGCAAGCAGTTTAACAACCAGGATTTTGCTCATTTCTGCGCTTATTATGGGGTGGAGCATATCAAGGTAGCCGTGGCGTACCCCCAAGCCAACGGTCAGGTAGAGAACGCCAACCGTACCATCCTTGACGGAATTAAGAAGAGAGTCGAAGCGACAGGGTCTACCTGGTACGAGGAACTGCCGTCTATACTATGGGCTTACAGAACAACCCCCGGAAGGCCACGAGAGAAACCCCTTTCGCCCTCACATATGGGTGCGAAGCAAGGACACCAGTAGAAGTCACAACCCCCGCGGGAAGGAGCACGCGATTCCAACCTGGCCGGAACGACGAGGACCTGCGGGTTGAGTTAAATTTCCTACAGGAGAGGAGGGATGAAGCCGAGCGAACTATTGCTATCTATCAACAATCTTTAAAACGTTACCACGACGCAAGGACGCCCCCGCAGTTTCCAGATCGGCGACCTAGTCCTACGACGACGAGAAGCCAGCAAACCGTTCTAGGGAGGCAAACTGGCCAAAAACTGGGAGGGGCCGTACGAAGTGGCGGAATTAGTGCACAAAAACACTTACAAACTCAAAACAATGCAGGGCAGGATTGTGGACCGCGTATTGAACGCCCACCACCTGCGAAGGTTCTTTCAATAGATAGAGTAGCTCTCAAGGAATGACAAATAACGCGACTCCCATGGCATTACCGTGGTATGTAGCATCGTAAGTGACTTATTTTCCCTTGTAGACGACATTGTGTCGCATGTTAATAATATCCGTGATTTTCACACATTGCATTGAGTATTACAGACACCAAGCGGATGGGGCATGTGGCTTATCACAACCCACATGCGCGGACTTGCCCCCGAAAAGCCGCATGGAGTCGGCCGATGGGGCATGTGGGTTATCGCAACCCACATGCGCGGACTTGCCCCTGGCAAGCCGCATGGCGTTGGCGGATGGGGCATGTGGGTTATCATAACCCACATGCGCGGACTTGCCCCCGGCAAGCCGCATGGCATGGGCGGATGGGGCATGTGGGTTATCGCAACCCACATGCCCCGGCAAGCCGCATGGCGTTGGCAGATGGGGCATGTGGGTTATCGCAACCCACATGCGCGGACTTGCCCCCGGAAAGCCGCATGGCGTTGACGGATGGGGCATGTGGGTTATCGCAACCCACATGCGCAGACTTGCACCCGGCAAGCCACATGGCGTTGGCGGATGGGGCATGTGGGTTATCGCAACCCACATGCGCGGACTTGCCCCCGGCAAGTTGCATGGTAAAAAAAAAATGAGAATAACACTAACTAGATTATCAAGGTTGGCGAAATATCCGGAATTACAAAAAAAAAAAAAAAATGATCTGCGATCTATGCCTAAGTCTATGGGGCTGCAGTGGCGGCAGCCGAGCTAGAAAATCCGGAGCCTGAATTGATGGTGAGATGGAGATCGGAGGGGTCTACGCTCCCGACAATACCAGATTCGGCCACAAGTTCCCAGGGAGCCGCAATAGACGATGTCACACCAAGCTGAGCCGCTTCAGGAGTCATAAGCCCATCCCCGCCGGCGGGCGTTGTAGAAGAAGGCGTTGCCCGAGCTCGAGTGGGTCGAAGAGGAAGGACGTCTGGTAGTTTCCACCCTTCAATGCTGAAAGAAGAGAACCGGCGCTCCAGCTTCCCGTAAAGCTTGTCCTGCATATCCCGTTGCCCCATGTAAAACACCGCATTGCATTCCTGCACCAACCTGGTCTGACCTTCTATCGTTTCGTGCAACTACATCTCCGCTACAAGCCCCATGGCCGCCCTGCCTCCTGGGGTAGTCGCCCATTCCTGGAGGACCTGTACAAGCGGAGGGCCCGTATAATCCTGGTATTCTTGCGCAGACTGCCACCTAGCATGGCCCCGACCATACCTTCGCCAGAACGATCCGAATCCCCCAACCACCAGCGAATCAGCCCGGGCATGCGTGTGCACGAATATTCACTCGCAGCACGTGCGAAATCTTCAGTCCCTTGCCAGTCTTCCACGGCACCCTCAAGGTCCTTGTCATGATCTTGTTGTTGTTTTTTATGCTCCTCCTGCAAAGTTTTGTGTCCCCCCGAAGGGCCTGGTGCTCCTCCCCCAGAGTTTTGTACTCCTCCTGGAGGACCTGGTGTTCCTTCCCGAAGGTTTTATGTTCCTCCTGGAGGGCCTGGTGCTCCTCCCCCAAAATCCTGTGATCCTCCTGAAGGGTCTGTTGCTTATCTCCCAGGGCCTGGTGGTCTTGTTGCAGGGTCTGGTGCGCCTCTTTCTGGGTTTTTAGTTCTCTCACGACGCGCCTACGAGCCTCCTCCTCTTCCCAGAGAGCGTGCTCTAAACCCCGTTGTGCCTTCTCCAACTCGGTATACTCTCGAGAAGCTTCCTGCAGGCGCTGGTGAAGCCAGATGGATTGCATAACCATCTGCACAAGAGAGGGAGACACCAGGTACACACGTAAAAAAAAAAAAAAAAAAAAAAAAACAGGGGCGGGGCCACTTACGTTCATGGAATCTCCAACTTGGCGGGAACTCAAGGTCTCCATTGGACTACTATCAATCCAGAAGCGCCGGTGAGCCGGTACCATATCTCGCACTCCACGAACGATGAAGTCCACATGTTCAGGATCGTAGGGACGAAGGCGGAGGCGGCTCGGACCGTCGAAATCTGAGCAGCTAGAGGATCCCGAGCATCATACTCACTGGTAGGGCTAGGCGTAGCTTGCGGTACGGCCAAAGGAGGCCCACGAGAAGGGGAGTCCACAACATGAAAAGGAGTGAGCGGGGAGAACTGGGCAGGCGAAAAATGTATGTTGGAATCCACCCCGTACATGATAGGGTCGTCCATAAGCCCCACCGACGATGCCCCATCATCATCATCCTCCGCATCATCACCAGAAGCAGCCTCGGAGCTGGGAGCCCGCGCTCGTTTACGAGTCTGGTAGGCCTTGATCATTTGGGGGGTACTCTCCACAGGAGCTAGAAACATCGGATATAACCATCAGTATAAATATATATATATATATATATATATATATATATATATATATATATATATATATATATATAGAGGCGGACCGGTACTGAGTTTGTGGAGCCGAGAGGGATCATGGTACCTACGATGGTTATGGGGACCGTCGGCGCACAGTCGCGCCCTGTCATCATCCAGACTTGAATAACCGGGAGGCGTATAGAGAGGAGGGCGCTGCACCCACACATTACTAAAACCCAGCCTAGAATCATTTGTGGGATAACGAAGGTATACAAACTTCTCCTTCCAGTTTTTTGGGAGGGAGGGCAGAGAGGTCACGAAGGGGTGAATAGGGATGGGCTGAAGGTGGAGGAAAGATGACCCACTTTGGCTCACGTTAAGAACATGTAAAAGTAAAGATAGGGAAGGTGCTACCTAGATTTCTCGGCATCGGGTGATGAAACAGGTGATAAAGCGATAACCGTTCGGAGTCATTTGGCAGGACGCTATCCTATGGCACTCGAGGAATGTTCGAATAAGAGGATGGGGAGGAAATTGAAGGCATGCTTGGACCGAGTGATAATGAACGGCCGCCCTATCAACCGATGGGGGGTCTGTCATGGTCCGGTCCTCCCCGGGTACGGTAATCTCAACCTTGGGGCCTAGCCGTTCGTCCAAACAATCAAGTTCAGCCTTAGAGATTTTAGCACGTATGCCGCGGGGAGTAGAAGGATCAAGATGGCGGACGGGAGTACCGGCAGTAGGAGGAGCACGAGGCGACAGAGGGAGCGACCTCTGAGCAGGACGAGAAGATGGATTAAAGAGGGCCGGAGAGCTGGCGGCGGTGATCGGCGAACGGGTGATACCAAAAACCCCCAAGCCCCGGTTAGGTGGCAAAGTGGTTGCGTGACTGGGGACGGGAGCGACAGGGTGAGTAGTAGGGGATGACAGCGATGGCTGGGGGGAGCTCATGGATTGAGGAGCGCGGGGGCCGAGGCCGGGCCTAAAGCGGTAAGCAGTTTGGGAGGGGCTATATGTGCACCGTTTTGATAATTGAGGGGCAACATTTACACCCTCATAATTCAGGAGTGACATTGATAATTGGCACATTATAGAGGGACATTTTTTACAATTTTCCCTTTTTGTTATTATTAATATTTTTTGTTTCCTCTCAACTGTTAGATTTGTTTGTTTTTTTTTCATTTTTTTTCTTTCTTCTCTCTCCCTCACCTCTATCCTACATGGCTTCTTAATTCTTGTGCAAAAATCAATCTATTGAGGACCCCCTTAGGTGCACCAATGTTAATAAAGTAAATTACTTACACTATTTAGTAAAAATAGTTGCACTTGTAAGTAATTTTACTTGCACTATATAAGTGATTAATTAATTGATACATAATATGTTTTGTAATTCAATTAGAAAAAATATGATATACATTTATTTCGACCATTTCATATTTTACTATAAATATTTTTATATTTCGCCTTCATTAAACAAAATTTCTAGATCTACCCCTCTCATAACCTAACAACATTTGTTACTTGCAATTCTTATACCAAATACTAAATTATTCAATCAATTTTATATTGTCTGTCCGCATATCATATTGAAATGTTAATAGATAGAGGTGCTATCACACTATACAGTAGTTGACATTTTTATACTAAACTTAATTCGTAATGCATAATACTTGACATGATATAAGTGTATTGGATTACATACATTTTTACATTTAATTATTTGAGCGATGCTACTCCCTATTAAATTTGCATAACAATTTTCACTTGGAAAAAGTGTAAATTTAATTTACCTCTCTAACTCTATCAAATACTGTAATAAGTTGCCTGACTAAAAAATAAAATAAAATCCAATAAGACCTTTAAAGCGGCTAAATAATACAATTATGCCCCATTGTTATATGAGTTCTTCTATATCTACCCCAAATCTTACTTCATAAATTTTACTTCTTGATGTGGCAGACTCTGATAAGTTATTTTTTCATGTGGGTCCCAATATAAGTATATATTTATATCAAAATTTTGTGTGAGGGAATAAAAGTTGGAAGTATAAAGTTGGAGTACATATAGTATATTT